GTCAGCACTGCCATCCTCACGAATTCATGAGTATTGTCTGATTTTTCAATCTTCCACTAGGAACCCACTTAAGAGACATTAAGATATTTGTTCTTACCTTTTCTTAACTGTTCCAAGTCTTCTCGAGTTTTCATGAATTTCTCTTCAAACTGAAAAGCAGAAAAGGTAAATGAGTCCTGATTAGTTCACTCAATCGCCTTGCATGCTTGTCAGCTTGAATCACTCCTGTCTACGTGTGATATGAAGGGGTAAGATTTTTGAGACTGGAAATATACATGGAGGAATCTGGTCAAGGCTATCTGGAAATTTATAGTACATCTGTCAGGAAAAATGCATGGGTCACAACCTGAAAAATGCTTGATCCCATCCATTACAGATGTGTGGGCTGCTCGAGGGCAGGGACCTCATCTGTCTAGTTCACAGTGTATCCCCAAGACCTAAAAGAAAACCTGGTTCTTTATAGGTGTCCACACAATTATGTTGAATGATGAGTTCCATGGTTAATAGGCAGTTTGTTACTGTCTCCTCCCTCCTGCCCACCTCACAATTGTGGTGTGTATTTGAGTATAATTGCATTCATTTTCTTATATGGTAGAATTTAGATCTTTTTATGGGAATTTCTGACATTCATAAAAATAAACAATTGAGTATATTGTTGCTCCTTTATCCCTCACCAATTTCAACAATTATCAACTGGTATCAACAGACTTTCATCTAGGTGCCCACCCACTCTTCTTCTCTGGTAATAGTTTAAAGGAAATCTCACCCCAGAATTCATGCACAGTCATGTGCCCCATAACAAAGTTTCAGTCAATCACTGACCAGGTACATAAAGATGGTGCCATAAGGCTATAAAGGAACTGAAATTTTCCCATTGATTAGTGAATACATAGTTGAATAAGAGGCTAGGGAATAGAAAACTAAAGGGAAGAAAAGGAAGAATCCCTAAGAAAACTCAGTGAAGCATTTGGCAGAAGCTTTTGTAGACCTCCATAAGTTCCACCAAAATATTAAAAACATGAGGACTGCAGCATAGCGCTCAGTGGTAGAGCACTTGCCTATCTTACACACTGCCCTGAGTTCAATCCCCAGCACTGTGAAAACAAAACAACAAAAAAAGTTGTGATCACTAAGAATAGCCTATAACAAATTTTTCTTAAAAAAATTGAAAACATAACCTCCAAATGAATGACTAASTTTTATTAATAGGGAGGACTTTTCATGGTACATTATCTGCTTCCAAGCAAATACATATAATGAAAAAAAGCAAACCAAGCAATCCACCATGCACATATTTCTGCACAGTGATGCCTCCTCAGGAGAAGCATCAGAAATGTCCTTAGTAGGAGAGAAACGAATTACAGTAGATGGGATAGAAAGAGAAGATGGGGGGGAGGGGGATAGTAGAGGATAGGAAAGGTAGCAGAATACAACAGTTACTAATACGGCAGTATGTAAAAATGTGGATGTGTAACCGATGTGATTCTGCAATCTGTATTTGGGGTAAAAATGGGAGTTCATAACTCACTGAAACTAATGTTTGAAATATGATATGTCAAGAGCTTTGTAATGTTTTGAACAACCAATAAAAAATAAATAAATAAATAAATAAATAAATAAATAAATAAATAAATAAATAAAAAGAAATGTCCTTAGTAGCTAGACCAGAAGAAGGTACAGTGATCATGGGAGGGGACAGGACCATGCCTGTTACTGCCCCCAAAACCTTCCAGTGGAACACCATGGGGAGGTAGAAGACAGTGATATTGTTAATTCTGAATCTGCGTTTGCTTCTTAACTTGTAACAGAAGAATCTTTTAAAATACAATTAAATAAAAAATAAAAGTGGAAAAAGCTAAGAGAATGAGGAATAAAAATACTTTATACACCTGCACAATAYGTCTGAGTTTTAAGTGTTATTATGAAAGAGTCAAAAGGTTAAAAAATTTAAAAGTTTGTCAAATAAAAATTTTACAGTAAACTGAGGTTCATTTATTATTGAGGAAGGAAAACATTTTAATAAACTGAGTGCAGCCTGTGTGTGCAGATTCATGTGTGTGCTAAATCAGCTTTTCATTATTTTAAGGAATACCTAACATAATCAACTTTTAAGAGGGACAGGTTATTTTGCTTATCACTGTTTCAGAGGTTTTGGTCCCTGGTCATTTGGCCCTGTTGCTTGATGACAAGGCAGAACATCATGGCAGGCAACTCATGAGGGAGCAAACCACTACCTCTTGGATGTCAGGAAATCAAGAGAGACACAGGGGCTGCATTCCCAGTATCCCCTCAAAAGCAAGCCCTCAGGACATAACTCCTCCCACTAGGCCCCACCTCAAAATAATTCCACTACCTTCCAATGGTGCCTCAGGCTAGGAACACACCTTTAAAACATAGGCCTTTATGAACTTTTCAAGTCCAAATTAGAGCATTAGGTAGTGACCTGGGCCTTCACTTTGACTCAATACCTGCTCACGGACTCACTTGGAGGAATTGCCAGACCTTGTAAACTCTAGGCCTGGTAGAGTACTGAAATTAAGTGTCCTGTTTTTCATATTTTATACCATACTTTTACTGTGCATGTTTTTGGTTTCAATATACAGATGCTTATCATTGTGTTACAACTGCCTAGAATATTTGGTGCAGTATCATGGCATACAGGTGTGTGACTTACCAACAACAGGCCACACAATATAGCCCACAATATAATAGGCTACACCCTCTGGTTTTCTTTGGTACACACTATAATGTTTGCACAAAAAAAATTGCCCAATGCCAGGTTTCTCAGGCTGTGTCCCCATTGTTCAGGACACAAAACTGTGTTTCATTCTTAAATAGTTCAATTAGTTTCTCTAAAATATAGGAACTATGTTTAAAAATAGCTATCACATGTTATCCCACCGAAAAACATTAATAATAATTTACTATCATCATATTCAATCAACGATCATATTTCTAATTTTTATAAGTTTTATAAATTATGTTCTACAGTTTGTTTAAACACAAATCCACATAACTTCCAGAAATGGTGATATATTTTTTTACATTAATGTTTATCCTGTTTGATGAGAATACTGACAATGTATTTGGTTATGTCTGTGAATTTCTTATAATTGGCAGTTTTGTTTAAAGCACAACTCATGACATGGTATCCAGTAAGAAACATCACCTAGCTGATGTGAGAAAAGTATCTAATAACAGTGAATATTAGATCCAACTTAAAATGACTTGACCCAGAACTTACCTCTTCACCAGCTGCAGCCAAGAGCCATCGGATGGACTCCATTCTGCCCCGTCCATCAAAATAGTGAAGAATGGGTTTCCCTGCCATGATGGCAGTGTCTGGGTTTTCCTAAATGTGTGTGAGCAAATGAAACTGTCACTATGGCAAAATCTAAACAACCCTTTAGCTTCACTTGATCTTAATTGGCTTTAAAAAATGACTAATTTTTGATTCACAAAGTTGGGTGTGGGAGGCCAACCTTACAGGTGACTGAGTTACACTCCCCAGCTGGGTGCTGAGGCACTCAGTCACAGAAATGGGTGTGTCTTGCTRCAGCCYCATGRGTGAAGCTATGCTCACCTGTTCCTTTGTAATATAACCCCTTGCCCTGTTTAGGATAGAATCTTCCATGGAAGTGCCTTGTGTGTGTCCCCTCCTCTTACTGTGCCCTTGGGTGTGGCCTACCCAGGTGTCAGTCAACTTGCTGACAGTGGACATCATGAAGATAGACTCAGCCCCCTGAAACCTGACCCCTTGCCTCATTTGAATAGCTTCTCCTCAATAAAAGGGGTCAGCCCTTGCTCTCCCTCTCTCTCTCTTTCTGCTGATCGTTAAGGTCAGAGGAGCCCTCACAGCAACCCCAAAGAAAAAGGTATTTGTGTCTCTAGTGTGGTTATTTCTTGCAGTCCAGTTAGCCCAGTTTAACTAGAGTGACCCCTGAGCCTTTTAGTCGCAAGAACAGAAACCCCCCGCAGTTGGGCAACACATTGTTAGTCTTAGGTTAAATTTGCAAGTAGAAGACAACTCTGACCGAGGCCACCTAAGGGATTTAAAAATTATTCTTCAGAGAATGTTATCACCCTGTGACCTCCAGGGGAAAGATGCTTTTTCCATCTCACCTGATCTGTGGGGGAAATAAAACTGTGTATCCTAAAAATACAGAAGGAGCTATTCCTGGGAAAAGTAACTAAAAAGAGAAGAACATAAGACTTTCTAATCAGCAAATTTTCTTTCAATTTACAGAACTCAGAACATCCTGTGACCTAGGCCAATATCAATTCATGCAACAAAAAAGTAGGCCACCCCAAATTTTGAAGTACACTGGAATGTGTAACTAATCTGGCACCTGCTTCTGTGATGCAATTCTCACAACTCCCAGTAGAAGCCTTGCACTTGGAACCCTATGCAACACGGTCTTTGTTGGAAGGAGCCTTTGTTTTGCTACATTTTCAATAAATCTTTTTTCTTTTCCACAGCAATTTTCCTTGAGTCACTGGCCTTTTCCAGGAGAAGCAGTGAACAGGGATTGAAGGTTTCAAGACCATCATATCAATAGGTACTTTAAGATGTATGGTAGAACAGGCTGCACTGAAGAAGGACCTGCCTCCTTTGTGGCAGGGTCAGAGAAGTTCTTCAAATGTACTCCTAGGTCCAATGGTCACCCATCAGTAGTCACCCTCATAATGCAACAAACCAGTCTCATGTCCCCATTGGTTAAAATGTGACTGTTCTTGGCAGG